CGCGCGCGCACACACACACACACACACAGTCAGATAACAGTGGTGCCCCTTGAATGCAGTGCATTCGCCCCCAGCTGCAGTTCCCAAATACGTCTCTTCAGTAAGAGATTGAATCTGCCCCATTCATTAGCCTAAGTGGATGAGCTTCCCTAATAGATGCTCCCCTTCCCCTCAATAATTGCTGTTGATTGGCGTAAATTAGACCCTAGTTGCCAGACGAGTGATTCTCGACGACGATAATCTGATTCCCAGCTGAAACTAATAGGATTTTAACTCCGGTTTGGCCTAATGTCCGTCTGTAAGGCCTGGCCCGGCTCTGTTAGGCCAGACCTGCCCTTCAGCCCTGTGGCTTCATGCAACTCACGCTTACTGCAGGGCTGCAGATGAGAGCGGACCAATAAATGAATTTATAGCCTCAGGTGAACACGCATGCACACACGCTGTCGGACCAGACCTATTAACAGATGGTGTGGTTAACAGTGTGTTAAGAGGACTTGACTTTAAGGCCTAAAACCGCACAGGAAAAAAAGCTGAGGTTTGAAGATGTTCACCGTAAGGAAAAACAAAGACGCTTGTGTTTTGCTATAAACTAGTTTTTAGAAAGTTAGAAAAAAATCTGAAAATGTAGTTAGAAAATGTAGAAAAAATTAAGGCCTTGGTTGTTGCTTTAATTCAGAGGTTTTCCAACTGAGGTCTGTGGAAAAGTTAACAGGAACGTGTATATATCTATATATTTATATCTATATATTTTAAAATAATGAATAAAAAAACCCACAGTAAAACAGCGGAAGTATTAAATTAGATATATAAAATGTTAAACTATATAAATAAATAAACAATAAAAATTGATAAGCTATAAGCTCAAAGCCTCTCTCTAGTGCCTGGATAATAAATCCACAAATCAAATTTATTTAAAAATTAAAAGGGAAAAAAAAAAAAAAAAAAAAAATCAATCAATCAATCCTTTATAAAATACATCTAACAGTAGAGTACTATATTGTGTAGAAAAAAATGAATAATATTGTAACCTAAATATTTTCCAAATTTTTCACACGTATAATATACATTTTTTACACAATTTCATATATGGATCATATCTGGTGGTTCATGGGATCTAAAATATTGAAAACCCCTTGCTTTAACAGAATAAAAAGCAAATCATGCTAAGTGTGCACAGATTTTGTTGTAGCAAGTAAAAGTAAATTAATTATTATTAAAAGGATAGCAAATATATGTGAGTAGATGTTGCTATTTTGTTGTTGTTCTGAGTGCGTTGCTATTGCTAGGCAGGTGGCTACTTCCTGGCTCAAATCTCTATGATTTTCACGTCCATCCTTCATTTTTTTAAGATGAGAAAAGTCACTTCAAAAACTTCACTCTTTTGAACAAGCTACATGATTTAAAGGTATTATTCATGTCTGTACAAATGATACACAAATGCTAAAACATCAAACACAGGCTTTGTTCAAATCCCTAAGTATGAATAATCTTGAGCTATTTTAGTGTGCTAACATTTATATTCCCTTTAGTACACTTTAGAAACGTCCATGTTAGTCATGCCCTACCACTATGATGTTCCGATCAGTATATTGACACATTTAGCTTGAACCCCTCACAAATTGAAGCTTTGTGAGACACATGTCCCTAATGAAGATCACCCTTATTTGATATTATTTGTCATCAGGCTGATAAGAGCGAGCAGCACGCCTCGAGTCTAATGAAACTCCACTCCATTAGCGCTGAATCGGACAGATTGGCCTCCCAGAGAAATGAATTGAGTTTTTTGTATTTGTGAGATCATTCTCCCTGCATTAACTGATCTTTATCCCATCTCTTCATCACAGCCAAATCAGGTTAGGCGGCCATGATTAGCTGGGGTGGTCTCCCTTTTTAAGCAGTAATTGGGTTTAGCGGCTTAGCTGATAGCGCCATTAGGACCAATAACGGCCTTGCTTGGCTCGGGGAGTGAAACAGATTCTCCTGGAACAGATGGCAGATGCTGGTAAAGGGGTTTGATTTAGAGGGAGCAAAAGCAAAGTTTGTGTAACCGTAGAAGTTCTGGTGTTGTGCTGCGTATGTACGTCCTCTGTGTTCGCCGGGTGTCTGTTTTGCCTTCAGTGGCTTGTGTCCATTTCAGGAATATATCATATGTATATACAGTATATGTGTGTGTGTGTACTTTTCTTACTAGTTTATTACATCTGACTAACAATTCACCATGATGTAATTTCCACTACCATTAAGATATTGTGTTTAATAGCATTATGTGGTTGAACAAAATTACAGACTCACTTGTCTGGCCTAGGCTAACCATTATTTCATTTGTTCTGTTAACGCTTTACAGATTAATTGGTAAATAATGGCCAATAAGAATATTCTGTTTGCAAGCGATATTTACCTTGATTTCTATCTATTTTCTCCACACATCATATTCACTTTAATCTTAAAATCTTTGGTAAAACCTTGGTAAAAAAAAAACTTCAATAGACCTAATTTTGTATTTTAAAAAATCTTTAGAAAATCAGATTTTTCAACCAACTTTAAAGGGGTCATATGATCTTGCTAAAAAGAACATTATTTTGTGTATTTGGTGTAATGAAATGTGTTTATGTGGTTTAAGGTTAAAAAAACACATATTTTCCACATACTGTACATTATTGTTTCTCCTCTATGCCCTGCCTTTCTGAAACGCGTTGATTTTTACAAAGCTCATCGGTCTGAAAAAGCGAGGTGTGCTCTGATTGGCCAGCTATTCAGTGCATTGTGATTGACCGAATACCTCAAGTGTGTGACGGAAATGTTACACCCCTACCATACTGTGATGCTGTGTCCCGCTTCGTCCACGGTGAAAGCCGATCCAGCGATCCACAGCGCGAAGTTGATGCATTTCCTCAGCGACCAGCACAGATCAGCTCTAGGCATGACGAAACGGATATCGTCCTCTTTTGGAAGGCCAAACAAAGTAGTTTCGCTTTCACAACGAAACAACAGCATCTCCACGACATGGCGGCAGCAACAAAACTACAGTGAGAATAAAAGTTA